ATGGAGGGGGGAGGGGAAGAAATTTCAGAAGACCCACTGACCAGGTACAGGGGAGAGTGGGAGGGGTACAGAGACACTCAGACACCAAGGGAAAACTTCCTGGAGGGACCGAGATTTCGGAGGAGATTTGAAGACCTAAGACCTAAGAAGAGGTCAAAAGTCTGTTCCTAACCAGGTAGATGTAAGACAGCTCAGAGGGTAGAGTCATAAGAACCTGACAAGGGAGTTGACCTGGAAGTGCGGCTGGGCCATGGGCAGCGACTGGACACACAAGGAGCTCTAAAGGGGTTCAAAGAACTTCATGTGGGTCCTTCCATGGTCATCTCCTGCTTCTCCAACAAAGCACCACACACAGATTCTCCTGCAGGCAAGACCCCACTGCACATGCAATTTGAGGAGGCCCCACCCTGAAGAATCTCATTGCCAAAAATTATCTCCTCCTTTGTTAATTCCTCGGCCATTTCAAAATAGCATGTCACTCTGTACTTGGGAGACTCTTCTGCAAAGAGCCCATCAGTTCCCAAAAGTGCGTGCAAAGACCTGGTTTCCATATAGCAGGCGTTCCCTGTAACCTATGAGTCTTATTATATGCACTAAAATTTATCTCAAACTAATTGGCACTGGACCAGATGGCACAAAAAGATTGAGAACTGGTGACCTAGAGCAATAGGGCAGCCTAAAACACAGGCTGTGAGGGAAAGAACACATTCACAATGTTCCCATGCTTCGGATGGCATTGGACACATCCATTGGGCTAGAGCTCTCCAGAATCTGTTTCCACCTCGTTTTTGTATTTATCACTCCCACTTACCCCACCCTCAACTGTCTTCATGAACTCTGCTTCCACCAGATTGGCCTCAATAACTCAACAACTCTCAAGTATGTCTGGTGCTCTCTCGTTGTCTTTGCTCATTTATCCCTGGATCCATTTCATTGAGTGTCTTCTGTCTGCCAAGCACTGGGATAAGCACTAGGGACAGAGAAAGGAACGGGATGGACACTTTCCCTGCCCTTATGAAATATGTACGCATTGACCAACAAAAATCCTGTCCCTGTTCCACATCCTGCTCACCTACAACCCCTCCCAAAGCCCTTCCCAACACAATTCCCGGTTTGTGTCCCTTCACCAGTGAAGCTCTTGGCAACACTGACCATCAGACTCAATCAGACAGAATTGGGAGGAATGTCTGAATTACAACTTTTTTACTAGATTGATATGGTTTTGAGGGTCAGGCGTAGTGACTCACACTTGTAATTCCAGCACTTTGAGAGGCTGAGGCCAGAGGATCGCTTGAGCCCAGGAGTTGGAGACCAGTTAGGGCAACATAGCAAGACCAATATCTACAAAATATCAAAAAATTAACTAGGCGTGGTTGCATACATCTATATCCCAGCTACCCGGGAGGCTGAAGTGGAAGGAATGCCTGATCCCAGGAGGTCAAGTCTGCAGTGAGCCATGATCATGCTACTGCTTTCCAGCCTGGGTAACAGAATGAGACTCCCAACTCAAAAAAAAAAAAAAAAAGCAAAAAATCAGATTTATGTGGTTTTGGTAAATAGGTTACAAAATCTAATTTTTTGTTTTTAAGTTTTAATAATTAGGAATTATTAGAGATTTATTGTTGCTGTTGTCTATTTCATCCTGTCAACTGCAGTGTCTCAGCTCTTCATCTTATGAACAAAGTGGTCCTAACTGCTTTGAATCCCAGTTTATTTGTCTGTTAAGTGACGATGATTTAGTGAAGCCTTCTGCTGAACCTGAGTCTTTCCTGGACCATCCTGCCTCAAACTGTGATAGGTATTCATTTTGGACCCCAAATCATGTCTTCCCAGGAAGGCATCCACCCTGGGAGGTGAAACTTGAGCCTGAGATGTTCCCTGAGCTTCAAGTCTGAGATCATCTTGGTCTTTCTCAGCTCAGTACCGGGAAGCAGCAAGCAGTGCAGACCTTGCCAGTCTAGGAGATTCCTGTTGCCACCCAGGCACCTCTGCAGCTCTGAGGGCGCTTTCCTCCGGGTAGACCTTGGCCCACTGCACGTAGACCGTTTCTGCCTTCCACTTCTGCTTGGCGTTCTGGGCTTCTGAGTCCAAGTGGACCCAGGTTGGGATATTTTTCTTGAATTCAGTGAAGTCCTCTCCATCATAGATACATTCAGGATGCTCCACTGCTTCTGCTGTTCAGAATCTCACAACTGAACCATACCTGAAAGCTGTGAGACACTGAAGCCTCCCCTGACTCCACTGGGAACCAGTCAGCCCAACGCCAGCCCCATTAGTTCTACACACTTTGTCACTCAACAGGAAGAGATGTTTTTGTAATCTAAATATGCAACTCCTTTATCTTGGCAAAGAGGTTACTACATGTAGACAGAGGGGGCAAATTGTTTGGTTTGGCACTTCAGGCCTGCCTGAGAGATGCTCCTCCCAGCCATGGAACTTAAGAGAGACATAGACTATAGACTATGGCCAGGTTCCTAGACTTTCTGTAGCGTCCCATCTAGTAAACCTTATCTGTGTGACTGTATGGTGGTTGCTTAGGAATTGTCAAAACTATCCTCAACTGCACGTCCAAATTCTATAAAAATTATTTATAGTTTCATATAGATTATGGAACTCTTTTTTCTTCTCTCAGACCTAGCTGGAGCTCATGTCATCACTTGAGTAAAACCAACTTGATCACTTCTTCCCTCTTCTCCAGTGGTTAATATGTTTATTCCAAATCTCTACAACCCAAGCTCCTTGCTGATTGATGATAACTCTCAGAAATTGACCTCCTTAGGGTAGAGGGCCACAACATCTTCACTGTAATCGTGAAAGTTGGTATTTGAAAATGGATGTTGTTTCAATCAGCAGAATTAGGGAAACCTGTGCAGGAAGAGATTATACCTACCTTGTTCTACTTGGTCTCTAGCGCTTAGGTATAAGAGCATCAAGAATATAGTAGATAATCAGCCCAAAATTAATGGATAAATCAACAAACATATGAACAAAGGCTTTAGAAAGAACGTTCCAAGTATGTCTGATGACCCGTTAAAACTTCTTGACTGGAACAAGTTCTAGTGAAAAAGAAGGTTGAAAAAGCAGAACTCGGCCAAATTGAAGAAAGCCTGAACGGGACAGGTGTTTGTCCTATACCGCTGGCATCTCCTGTCTAACTTAGTGCTGTTCGTCCTTCCATCCACCTGGTGATGTATCCCCAGAGGAGTTCTCCAGAAATAGACAATAGTCTAGGGGACTAAGGAGTTATTAAAAGAGACCAGAGCATGACCTCCTCAGATGGCATTTGCAGTTGGTCCTGCCTGCAGGGGAACCTGTCCATGGCGCTCTACTGGAGAGGCATGAAGTGATCATGGAAGGGCCCACTCTGGATCCCTGTATCATCTCTAGTGATGCCCCATGATGCCCGTGCTCTAGCCCAAATCCCAGGTCACCTTCCTTGTCAGGCCTTTGTGACCACCCTTCTCAGCCGGCTCGTGCCCATCTAGTTAGGGACCGTCTTTTGACCTGTTCTCAGCCAGCTGTCTTAGGCCCTCACGTCTCCTCTGAAATCTCAGTCCCTTCGGAAAGTTTTCTCCGAGTGTCAGAGTGACTCTATGTCCCTCTCCTGCTCCCCACACTAGGCCAGGACTTGGGTCTTCTGAAGTTTTCTCCCTCTCCTCCACCCTATCCCTCTCTTCCGTCAAAGATGAGGCAAAGTCTCACATTCCAATCTTCCTGAGCCCTGGTCTGCTCATGTGCATTTTTTATTTCCTCGCTGAGCTGAAATGTTCATCCTTTACCTTTTATTTGTTCAAGGTGTCATTGCATTTTGAAATAACAGTTGCTATATTTTTCCCTCTTGATTATTTTTCTTTTCTTTCGATTTTTGGGGCTGTCTGCTGTTCAGACTGGTCTTTTTACCCCAGAAGATGGGAATGTGGATTTCATGTAGACTAAAGAAGTAATTTATCAGCTTTGCTTTCCAAATTGGGCCCAACACTCTGGGGGGGGGGTGAGTGGGAGTCTTCATATTAACTTTGCAAAAAGTTAAGACGATTGACTCAGAAATCTGAAGGCTGGGAAGGATATCCTTCAGGAATTCAACTTGGAGGACTCATTTTGGATTAATGCTGAGTGAGAAGCTGAGGACAGGATGTAACAAATGGTCACGTTGCAAAAAAGGAAAAGCACAGTCACAGGCAACGAGGCTGTATAAAAAGTCAGGTGTGAGAGCTCTGTTCTGTCGTTTGGGGTTGAAACCTGAGTGCGAACGTTGGCGACTCAGTTGAGCAAACATACTCAGGGGATCTGGAGAGAGTCTAAGAACCCCGGGATCAGTTCTGCTTCCTTGAGTGATGCCATGAAGAGATGGGGTTTTTCAAAAAAGATCTGGTTATGTGTGTCTAGACCAACATGTATGAGTATTGTGAAGCAGCTGGAGTGGAAGACAGTATCCTCCAGGGAGCAAGGGAGTGCTGGGGAAATTGAGGCACAGAAGAGGCTTGGATCTATGTTAAAGAGTTTGAGAGTTTTAGGTCTTCACGGCCGGAGAGGCCATGACCACATCTGTGGGCATCAGCAATGGACACCTGAACCATATCCAGCGGACAAGGGTTCAGGTCTTGCTTGGGAATGCCCAGGTCAAGGAGCCCGGGAAACATGGCTTCCCAAGGAAACCAAGGATTTCAAATGAATCCGATGCTTGGAAGCAGGATGAATGAGAAAGCCACATTTTTACCAGCATTTCACAGTTAAAAATACGTTTTTCTATTGTGCTAGGCAAGAAGATGATTGCTTATTCGATTCTACAGATTAGGCAATGAGGGGGTTTTGAGGTCAGGTGATTTGTGGACAATTCATCCTGGGGTCTGGCATTTCAGTCTTCTGTCTTCCAATCCACCCCGCCTGTCCCCATGCACTGCCCTTAGGGCCTTGTGATAACATTGAGAATGATTTCTAGAATTCAGCTCCCTCGAGTCAGGCAGAAAGGGCAACTCCTGGGGCTGAGACCTCAGGTTGCTTCAAACCCTCGTCTCCTGCCTCTCATCCCAGGGCACCGTGAGGGGCTGATCCAGAGCACCGTGCTCTGCGTGGCAGGTGTAGGCAGCTCTGTCTCCAGGGGGAACTTTCATGACCACCCACGACAGGTAAGTGCCGTTTCCACTGGGAAGGACTTCTCTTGCCGACTGAGGGTCTTGCACTTTGTCGGCCCGAGTCAAGTACAGATGGATTCCTCGGGGGTAGAAGTCATAGGCCAGGCACTTGAGTGTCCTGTCTCCTCCCGGGGCCTTGTAGCTGGTGACAGACACAGACGGAGGATCTGCAGAGAAGTAGAGAGTGACCCTGAGGGCTTGGGTTTGACTTCTCTCGGTCCTTGTCTTTTCCCGCCTTCTAGATGTCAGTGATCAGCAGGGCTCTAAGCTCTTTCCCTGCCTCCCCTAGGAGAGCTTCTCCAAGAGGAGGGTAGGCTGAGGTTTCCCCCGAGCCTTCCCTGTCGGATCGAGGAATGCTGGCAGCTCTTCTCCTGACCCCTCAACAACCCACCACAGACCGTCTTCTGACGGCAACAAGTTGTGAGCGTCCCACATACTTCCCTCCGTTTTCCCACATCTCAGTGGCTTCCCAGTTCCTCCCCTTCCCCCATCTCAACCCAGCCCTCAGTTCTGCCTGTGGCTCTGTCCAGTCAACTCTTCTCTGCTCCACTGCACAAAATTCTTTGTCATGACTGCTCATACCAAAGTCTCTGCTTGTGGACAGCAATTCCACTCATTCTGCCTCGTTTCTGTCCTCCCAGGGAAGACATTGTATACATCTGCCTTCTCTCCACAACCAAGAAAGGAGGAGTCATCATAGAGAGAAATGACTGTGGGATTTGGAATCCCGGAAATATAGAATTTCCATTCCAGTGCTGCCTCTTATGGGCAATGTCACCCTAACTTCTCTTCTCTTCACCCTAACTTCCCCAGCTACCTAATCTATCATTTTGTGGGAAGCTCACCATTGAATCAGTGGCTTTTCTCAGGCATCACCTTTTAGGACCTGGTATCGTGTCTTCCCAGGGAAGGTTGATCCTAGGAGGTTAAAGCTAAGGGTCTCAGGGACTCCCAGGAATGAAGGGGGGCAGTCTGAGATGTTCCCAGAGCTCCTAGTCTGAGATCATCTTGGTCTTTCTCAGCTCAGTGCTGGGCGGGAGGAAGTAGTGCATACCTTGCCAGTCCAGGGGCTTCCTGCTGTAGCTCAGGTACCTCTGCAGCATCTGAGGGCACTCCACCTCCAGGTAGGCCTTGGCCCGCTGCACATAGACTGCTTCTGCCTCCCACTTCCGTTTGGTGTTGTGGGCTGCGGGGTCCATGGGGATCCAGGCTGGGATTTCTTTGTTGAATTCAATGAAGTCCTTTCCATCATAGGCATACTTCCAGAATGCTCCACTGCTTCTGTTATCCTGGAGCTCACAACCGAACCTTCCCTGAAAGGTGTGAGACCCTGAAGCCTCCCCCAAGCCCACAGAGAGCCAGTCAGCCTGGGGCCAATCCCGTCTGAACAGCTCTTACTCCTACACACTTTGCAACCTCATGGGAAGAAAGGTGTCTGCAATCTAAGAATACTTACCCTTTGTCATGACAAAGGGGTTACTATCTAAACTTACAAGAGACAGAGGGGGCAAACTCTGTTGGGTTTGGTGTTTCGGGTCAGCCAAGAATGAGGCCAACCAGAGAACTTAAGAGAGATATAGACAATGAACAGATTTCTCTCTTCTGTGACAGCTCTTTTTATTTGTTTGAATTTATGGTAAATGCTTAGGACCCTCTCACATTAAAGTGCATTTTCATATTTAATAGAAATTATTTATGATTTCATGTAGATAATGGGAATCCCTCCTTTTCTCTCAGTTCTAGGTGAAGTTTACATCATCACTTGAGTAAATCAGATTTGATCACTTCCTTCCTTCTTGTCCAGTGGCTGATATCTTTATTCCAAATCTCTAAAACTACAACTTCTTCTTATTAGCAACAACTCACAAGATACTAACCTCCTAGGCAGAGGGATAGTGTGGCTTAGGAGAAAGAGGCTGGGCAGGGGACACAGGAACCAGTCTCTGTGTGGACTCTGCCACCAGCTGCTCACACCACATGTGGAGTGACCCTTCCCATGTCTGCTCCTCAAGGGTGAAAGGATCCCTAGGGTTCTGTGTAACTCAAACAGTCGTGGTTTTGAACCCAACACCTACTGAGCTCCCAGCATGGGCTGTGGTTTATGCTAGGTGCTTTTTCTCAGTTTATTCCACAAATTTCAACTGAGCAAATGCTATTGTCTTCAACCTGTCTTAGTTAATAGGGCTACAGAGAAGACCAAGACTGACCATTTTATCCTTCATGGAATAGACATATCTAAGTTTTACCGAATTTCTTGGAGGTAAGTCTCAATGCTCCAATTTTTGTGGATTTAGACCACATAACGAAGGAGCATGCTGACTGTCAACAGCTAGTGACTGGCAGAGGCACTGTGTGAACCCAGGTCTGATGACTCCAAGGATGGCTCACTCTCCACCAACCTCCCAGGACAGGAGTGAATCAACACCCTCTCGGGGGGGTCAGCCTCAGGCAGGTGGGGGTGCAGAGCTGAGAAGTCAGAGGTGCCTGGATAAGAAGTGATTCCCGCATCACTTCCTAGGTGAGCTGAGGCCTGGGAGTGAGCATGGGAGAAGTGAGAGGGAAGGAGGAAGCAGCTGTGCTGTGGGGTGGGGGGAATGTGGAGATATCTGTGTGTTTCCACTTTGCCCTCTTGTTCCTTCGGGATATGGACTGTCTCCATCCTGCTGACCCCTTTCCACTCACACTCGTGGGGTTGCTTCTTGAGCAAGACCCTCCACCCCAGCAGCCTGTTGTTCACTGACCGTCACTGTCATTGTAATAGTTCATGATGTCATGCAGGGTCTCCAGGAAGATGTCCTGCCTGGCCTTCTGAAGTTGGCTCTCCTTCTCCCAATCCTCTATCCCTTCCATTTGTGTCCATGGTCCCAAGGGCTCAGCCTTTCTATCTCCACTGTCATAGTGGAAGAAGGCCTGGTCATTGAGGAAAGCATTGGCCTGGAACTTGGGGAAGACCTTACTGGGCCCGGACAGCCCAGTGTAGAGGAAGGTCAGAGAGTAAGGACCTGACAAAGAGAAAAGATGATGAGGGATGGGGTTCACGCATACTTCAGAGATTTTTCTTCACTATGCTGTTTCCTCTGCTCAGCACATATAAGAAAATAATATTTATCAGCCTCCTTGTGGATATATGGGGACCACAGACAGAGTACTGACCAAAAAAAGGAATGTGAGTGGAAGTGATGTCTTTCTTCTGGTCCAAGGCCATATGAGGTGGCCTTCTCACTTTGTCTCGCTTCCCTTGAGACCATGACTGTGGAGGCCAAGAGATGAAACAGAAGAGTCCCAAGAGGCAAACAGACTGATCCTTGTGTCACCCCCTGGAGCAGAGGAAAGTTATCTAATCTGCACTGAACTTCAGGGAGAAATAAACATTTCTAGTTTAATCTGACAAATACATAAAGTTAGAAAGGGTAGGTTGGAGAATTTACTAGAAAACTCAAGAATTGACCCAGAATAGATAAGCACAGGTTCAGATTAGCCTGGACATCAGAATTCCCAAGATTATAATTTGTGTTTTGGTACAAGATAGGAGCTGGAAGAGAGAGAATATTTCCATAAGTAGTTCCATGTTTAATTTATGGGTGTTAATAGCATCGATGGTCCTAGTTCAAGTATTAAAATTATTCTTTTTATCCATGCTTTTATAAAGTTGCAGATAAAGTTTACTGAAATTATTGTTGCTCGTGATTTTCTAAGTTTGATTAACATGTAAATCATTAGACCTTGAATAAGGCAGATTACCCTTCCCTGGGTGGACCTCATCCAATCAGCTGAAGGTGTCCAGAAAAAGGCTTATGTCCCTCCAGAGAAAAAATAATTCTGCCTCCAGACTGCCCTCAGATTCAAGACTACAGCACCAACTCTTGCCAGGACCCCCACCCTCTGGTATGCCCTGCAGATTTAGGAGTTGCCAACCCACAAAATCTCTTCTCTTTTACGTACAGCACATATAAAAATTTATCCCTTTTTATAAGTGTGTGTAGAGAGAATACATCCTTGTATAAAAAAGGATGTAGATAGTATACATACACATAAAAAAGGATACATATATATGTGTGTGTATATATATATATATATATATATATATATATATATATATTCATTCTATTAGTACTGTTTCTCTGGAGAACCCAGAATACTTCATATTTTGGTGCACAATATGATCAACATTCTAAATGTAATTTCTATTTTGAAAACACATAACAGCTACTCTGACCATTTGTAAATGTCATGAATTTTAAACTTGCTCAATTGAGAAATTATTAGCTTATATGTATTCATCCTGTGCATTCTTATGCCCTAAACAGACTTCTTCCCCTGTTTTAGAATTGACTCTGGCTCTTCCCGAGCTTCCAATGTCTTCTCTCCTGGCCACTCACCTTTCAGATCCTCTACAGCAGGTATGACTAGGGGTAAGAACACAAGTGTCCTTCTAAGACCGTCAGTCCAGTTAACCTGCCTTCCCACTAGCCCCCTAGGGGTGTTCTCACTTTCTCTCAGTGGCAGCCGGTATATCCAGCCATTGGAAGCGGGGAGGAACAAGAGCAGAAGCAGCTCCAGTGTGTAGTTCCTGTACTATACTGGCTGTCCGACTGATCCCAGGCAGGTCACCTTGCCTCTCTGGGTCTTTTGTTTCACCTGTTAACTATGAGTTATTAGATTCAGATTCTTGAAAGTCTTGTTTAGCATGAGTCAGAGGCTCCCTGAATGCTCCTGGAAGTACGAGAGCAGAGTGAGTTGCCAACCTTCGACACCCACTCCCACTGTACAGCCGGGAATCCCAGCTGCATCAGGGCCCTTCTCCCAGCCAGTCTGTCCCATTCTCCACCTTCCTTTCCATCTTCCACAGTACCCATCCCCTCCGTTCCTTACTCACCAGCTTGGGTGTCCTGGGGGATGGCAGGACCCAGAAGGAGGGGCAAGGACAGCAGGACAGGCACCATTCTTACCGTGATAGGTGGTTGGAAGGTTCTGGCAAGAAACACAGGCATTTTCCTGGATCCTGGGTCCTGGCGAAGGGGAGGTGAATCTACGGGCCAATAGGAGTGCCAGGACAAGCTCCTCCCCTGACAGGGAGAAAAAAAGATCCTGAGCCAGGTGGAGCAGAGGTTGTAGTTGGTGAGTCCACAGACATGGTCTGCACATTGAGAGCTGACACATCCGGTCTCAGGGCCAGGGCTTTGCATATCCCTTGGGTAAAAGGATGCCACTGAGCTAGAGGTGTGTGTGGAGGGTGGCAGATAACTAAAATGTGTCTCACTCTTCCCGTCTATAATAACCGTGTTCTGAGATTAGTAGGAAAATGTGTGTGTTCTCAAGTCACACTTCATCCCTCCCTTCTGGAAAAGCTCTCAGCATGTCCAGGGCCTGGGCCTGGGCGGACTCCATCTGGGGTGGGACTTTCACCCTCCCACACCTTACCTCACCAGAGCTACACCTGGAGGACATTCCTATCTCTTCCTTCTTACTTTTGTGCTTTCCCAACTTTCTGCCCTGGAAGCAAAAGTAACCAGAGCTCCCTCTTAGCAGCCTCCCTTGCAATAGAACAAACAGGTATGCAAGCTGAAGCTCCCATCCTGGATATGGAGTCAAGTGTCAGGGAAACAAAGAGACGGGCACTGTGGACCATGTTGGTGGTGGCTGTCACCGCCCGCTCCTTGGGGGTGACAGGTAGCAGCAGCCTCGGGGCATCCAGGTTCCGGTCCAGGATGATGTCCTTGGTCCATACTATAGCCTCTGGGCCTCCTGCTGGCAGTTGCAGTGTATTTACAGGGCTGGTTTGGAGTGTGATTTTGGCTGTGCTTTCTGGGTTCTTCGGCCTCATCATGGACGCTGAGAGCCAATCAACAAATAGGTGTATTTCCTGTCTAAAGATCAGATCTGGGCAACAGAGTGAGACTCCAACTCCAAAATAAATAAATAAATAAATAAATAAATAAATAAATAAATATCAGATCTGGATTCTGTTTCTTCTGACAAGTGATCCTGACTGAGACGGGAATTGGCACAAGGATTGTTTCCAGGCCACTGTAACTCAGGGAAATGGTGGGCTGAAAACCTGGAATTGGTTTGGGGGCTAGATTGAGAATAAGGACAGTGAAAATACACAGGTCTTGGGGATTCTTGCAGGCCTGGTGCACAGTGCTGGGTCACACAGCTGACTGAGGAACCTCTGTGGTTGACTAAAACAAAATGCTCAATAGAAGATGTAGACAAAAAGAGTCACAAAGTGGGTAAATTTAAACAGAGAGCTTCAGCCGGGCTCGGTGGCTCAGCCTGTAATCCCGCGCTTTGGGAGACTGAGGTGAGTGAATTGCCTGAGCCCGCGGGCTGGAGACCCACTTGGGCAACTTGGTGAGACCTCATCTCTACAACAAATCAAAAAAAAAACAGCCAGGCATGGTAGCACACACCTGTAGTTCCAGCTACTAGGAAAGCTGAGGTGGAAGGATTGCCGGAGCCCAGCAGGTTGAGGCTGCGGTGGCCGGGAGCGGCCACTGCCCTCCAGTCTGGGTGACAGAATGAGACTCCAACTCAAAATAAATAAATAAATAAATAATAAAAGGAGAGTTTCATTTCTAAGGGAGTCACCACCTGCAGGCAGGAAGCGAGCCTCCAGCCAAAACACAGAGCCAAGCTTCAAGATGGAGCAAGGAGAGGTAGGCATATATATTAAATGAAGCAGAAGGGTATTCATATTCCACGGGGCATAGGAAGAGTTTGTGAATGTTCATGAAGGAGACCCAAGCACATGCATATTAGGCTTGCATTAATGAATCACACAGAAACATATGACCCACGTTCACCTTGGGGAGGAGGTTTAACATTCAAGTGCATTATGATTGGTCCTATGCGGAAAAAGACGAAATGGAGGGCACAAGTTCACTTTCTGCACGTTCTCCGGTGACCAGTCACCACCAGTCTTAGACTGTCAATGGCTTATCAGGAAGAAACTCCTTGTGGATCCGAACAGCTGTCACGTTGGAACCAAAGATGGCAGAGTGGCACCAGGTGGGCAGATGAAGTACCTGAAAGGGACATTGGCCTTTTGTTCTCTGAAGCTTACTTTTGAGGAAATCTAATCATGATTAGTAAGGAGGAGGTGGGAGGAAATGGGACCTGATCATCCTCCCGTCTCGCCATGGCCGGCACTTAAAGTATGAGTCTTTTAGCCAAACGGTCCTATAGTATCAGCTGTCTGTACCCTGAAGTGTTGCCTTTGAGGACCACAACAAAAGTCCTAAACACTCCCACAGGGCCTGGGCCTGGGTGAACTCAGGACAAAGAATATGAGGAATGTAGGACCAATGACTGGGAAGTTTGAGCCCAGAAATGGTAGAAAGTTTTGAAAAAAAGACAATAAACTCTATTGCCATAATTATTGACTAAAGCAAAATCTGAAAATCAGACATTTTCTCTAATACTGCAGAAAGAATTTTTATCTCTTACAATTACCAGCATGAAACAGACTCCCCCCGAAAAAAACCTGAATAATGCCTAATTTTTAAACCTAATAACAAAAAGTTAAGTTTTGCAACCCAATTACCAAAACCTCATAAATCAAATAACAAACTGGCTCAGACCTCCCTACCATTGGTACTGACGGTCAGTGTTGCCAAGGGCCTCATCAAAGAAGGAACGCAAACCTGGAATGGCATTGGGAAAGGTTCCTGGGAGGGGTTGAGGGTGAGCAGGACATGGAATGGGGAGAGAATTCCTGTTAGGTGATGGGAGCACATTTCATAAGGACAGGGATGGAGTCTGTCCTGTTCCTCTCTCCGTCCCTAGTGCTTATCCCAGTGCTTGTCAGAAAGAAGACAATCAATGAGCATTTACAAAATATATCAGTGGATGACTGGGCAAAGACAGGAGAGCACCAGACATATCTGAGGGATCCTGAAGTCAATCTGGTGGAAACAGAGTTCATGAAGACAACGTGGGTTAGGTAGGCGCGTGGGGTAGGTAGGAGTGATAAATGCAAAAGGGAGGATGGAATCTGATTCTGGAAAGCCTCAGCTCAGCGGACGTGCCCAATGGCATCCAGCGCATGGGAACATGGGGAGTGTGTCCTTTCTCTCCCAGCCTGTGCTCTCTGCTGCTCCATTCCTTCAGGCCAGCAGTTCTCCATCTTTTTGTGCCATCTTGTCCACTGCCAGTTATTCTTAGGGTAATTTTTAGGGCATGAAATAAGACTCATAGGACAAAGAAAAGTCAGTTATAGCGAAATCGGGTCTTTTCACACAATTTGGGGGACTGATGGGTTGTTTGCAGAGGGATCGCTCAAGTAGAGTGACATACTATTCTAATGTCTGTGGTGCTCTGTTGGGGAAGCAGGAAGTGACCGTGAAAGGACCCATGTGTATTTCTCTGAACTCCTTTGCCATGCCGTATCATCCCTGGAATATCCCATCACCTCCTTGTAAAGGCCCTTGGGATCTTCCTCTCTCGGCTATCTCAAAACCGCCTTGTTAGGAGCAGTCTTTTGATCTCTTCTTGACAAGCTGTCATAGGTACTCACATCTTCTCTGAACTCTCACCATCTCTAGGAATTTTCCTCCAGGTGCCTGAGTGCTCTGTGCCCATCTTTCCTTCCCCCATGCCTGGCCAGGGTTTGGGTCTTTTGAGATCTCCTCCCCCTCCTCCACCCACACCCATCTCATCTCTCATAGTTGGAGCCAGGTCTCACATTCCAGTCTTCCTACCCCTGACCTCCTCATGTGGACTTTGTTTTCCTCATTGACTAAAATGTTTATCCTCTACCTTTGATGTGTTCAAAGTGTCATCATATTTTGAAATATCAATTGCTAAACTTTTCCCTATTGCCTGTTTGTCTTTTCTTCCCTGAGGTCCTCTACTGTTCAGAAGGGCTTTTTACCCCAGAAGAGAATGTGGATTTAAAGAAGTAATTTCCCAGAGTTGAGTTTCAAACTGGAGCCAAAGCATCAAAAAAATGTGTAGCCTTTATATTCAGGCTTTCGAGAAAGATTTAGATGATTGACTCAGAATTCTGAAAGCAGGGAATGATTTACTTCTGGAACTCGGCTCGGAGTAATGCAGAGTAGAAGGCTGAGCCTGGATAAGAAGGACGTTCTTGACTCAAGGAAGGAAAGGCACAGTCATAGGCAAATGAGGCTTCATAGAAAAGTCAGGTGTGAGAGCTCTGCTCTTTCTTTTGGAGTTTAACCCTGTGTATGGCAGTTAGTAACTCGGTGGAACAATCACACTCAGAGGAATTTGGAGGGTATCTAAGAACTTCAGGGTCAATCTCGCCTCCTGAGTTGTCCACTGAAGAGATGAGGTTCTCAAATAAGCACTGATTGTGTATGCCCAAGGCCAACAGAGTATAGGAAATGTGGAGCAGCTGAAGTGGAAGGTAGTGGGTTTAAAATGATAAAAGCTACAGAGAGGAATTGAATATTCTAAGAGTTTATAGATTTGCAGAGAAAGTGGCACGGAAGCTTGTGGACCACTTCTAGTTTGGTGGAGTGGTTCTGGTCCTGGTTGCAACCTCCAAATCACCTTCATGTACAAAGTTTCCAGTAGAAGAAGATATTTGAAGAAAGATAACCAGAAAATGAGAAAGGAAAACATAACCGATAGATGTGTAATGAGGGACACCTTTCTATAGGATTTTGAGGGCAAAGAGGAAAAAAGTTCATGAATCTATAAGGATATTCAGTTCATTTAAATTCAAAACTCTAATTAACATGGAGGGGAGGTTATCTAGGTGTTTTACTGCTAGAAGATCTATGGTCTTCTATTCTTCATCACCCAAAGACTCAAAGGGAACAAATAGAAGACCAATTGGGCCAGAAGTGAATAACAAGAGGTTATAGTGCTTATTTTAGGAGGGACGGTGACATTTCAACATTGATCTATTTATTCTCTGGTCCACCAAGGTTTGATGAATGCGTCTGGAACCAACATAAAAGCTGGTTTGAAA